GTGTGTGTGTGTGTGTGTGTGTGTGTGTGTGTGTAGGCCAGAGGTTGATGTCAGAAGTCTTTCTCGATTGTTCTCCATCTTATTTTTTTGAGACAAGGTCTTTCACTGACCCTGGAGCTCATTGATTCAGCTAGACTGGCTGGTCAGCAAGCTCCAGGGATATGCCTGTCTCCCACCCACCCACTGCTGTTGTTACAGATACACGCTGACATACCCCGCTTTTTACGTGGGTCGAGGTATCCACACCCAGGCACTGAGCCATCTCCCCAGCTGCTCCTGTGCCCCTTTGACATACCCATGCCATTCTGTGTATGCCCCAACCTCGTGTGTATAGGTTAGAGAACAACTTGCAGGAGTCAGGTCTCACGTTCCACCCCGTGGGTCCCAGGAATCAAACTAGTCATTAAATTTGGTAGCAAGTGCCTTTACCAGCTGAGCCAGCTCATCAGCCCTCCAGCTAGAAATTGAGACCTTCTGGACTCCCAAGCCAATTCCAGAGACGATCGCCAGAGGGCGTACGAAGTTTCTTTTTGCTTTTTCTTCCCTTTTTTTTTTTTTTAAACCACAAAGCCTTTCCCAAGTGAGGTGAAGCAGGAGGCGGAGCTAAACTGCTGGATCTGTCAAACCCGGAGCGTGAACCTTGAGACATCACGTGAACGTCGCGTCACTGGTCAGCTGACTAGTGTGTCCCAGTTCCGCAGAGGTGAGGCGGAACTAGTCCATGACGCCTGCTGATTGGTTGGAGGGAGTCAAAGGTCGCGCTTGGGGGAGGGCGGGGGAAGAGTGCTTGGCAGTGCGGGATCATGATTGGCTTGTGTGGTGTCACGTGGCAGTGCGCTGCGGGGCTCTTAGGAAGCAAGTGGCGTCATCGGCGGGCGTGTGCTTGGGTTGCGGGTCAAGGGGCGGAGTGCTGTGGCCGGAGGAGGCGTGGCTGGAGGGGCGCGCTTCGCAGCGCGAGCCCGCTGGTTGGTCCGCACGGGTCACGTGGCGCAACAGGGCCGGACGACGTCAACGCAGCGGGCGGAGCTCTGCCTAGTGCGCGGTGTCCGGGGCCTGTAAGTAGTCGCCCGGCTGTGTCGGCCGAGCCGAGCAGCTCTGCGGCGTCATGGACACCTCCGGGAAGCAGGCTGAGGCAGTGGCGCTGCTGGCCGAGGCGGAGCGCAAGGTGAAGAACTCGCAGTCCTTCTTCTCCGGCCTCTTCGGGTAAGCGGCGGGCGATGCTGGGCCCGCGGCGGGGGAGAGTGGGCTCGCTGGCCCTCTGTACTCTGGAAGCCCCTCTACGGCCTTGCAGACCCTGGCCGGGCCCTGAGGCCGACGACACCCGACTCCTGACGGTGGCCGCGCCTTTCCCAGGCTGGTGCCCATGGGTCTGTGCGGCGGCCCAGGCTGCCGGGGTAAGGACATCAGACCGAGAGGACCCGGGCTGGGGCGACCCTGGGCATGATGAGACGGAGTATGAGGTGTGAGTGTGGCTCTGGCTCAGAATGACTGATGGCCAGGAGGCCTGGCCTGAGAGATGGAGGCCCGCCCCCCAGGGGAGGGCATGAACGGACGGTGACACTGGTTTGGCCACGGAAATGGCGATGGGAGGATGAGGCACCCAAGAGAACCAGAGGAGGATAGAGGCCTACTGGGTGGTTTTCAAGTTTGGGGTCAGAACACACCCCCAGGAGGTGGCAGGCACCTCACACAAAGTTTATGCAAGTTGGGCCTCTTCAGCCATATTAACTTAGAAGCAGCAGAGCCAAGCTTGGCATGTGATTCGGAGGCTTCTTTATCGCAGGGAAGTTATTTTCATGAAAGGGCTCATTGGTTAAAAACTAACTGCAGAAGTTTTTTTGTTAGTATGAACTCTGTGTAATGAGCTCAGAACTGAGTCTGGTGTGGGCTCAGAGCTCTGAGAGGCTCACTAGCTAGGAGGAAGCAGACTGAAAGGGTGTAAGAGGCGGATGGGGAGACTGGAGAGCCTGAGAGGATCTGGAGAACGGCTATGAAGGGGGGAGGGCCCCGTGCTTTGGGTATAGGAGGGGGAGGGGGAGGGAACAGTACAGGGAGCCAGCAAGACTGCTGAAGGAACAACCAGAGAGGCACACTGGGAAAGGGACAGGGCAGGTGGTTGTGAGGAAGAGCTTGGTGCTAGGGGTGGGGCACAGAATCAGAATCCTCAGAAGCAAGGACTGGAGAAGAATGAAGAGCTTGCCAGAAGGCTGGGGAAAGGCTGAGAGATGTGGGGGGCACAACACAGCTTGACCACACAGCTGCCATGACAGGCTTACTAGCAGGTGCCACCCAGTCCCCAGGAAAAGTCATAAGCTGACCCCACCCAGGGAGGGCCAGCATCTGAGGAGAAATACCTGACCTTCCAAACATTCCCTGCACACACCTATACCCCTAGACAAATGTCAGCCAATCCAGGTCCTGAACCCTGGAAATCCCCTCACCACAACCTCTGCTATGATAAAAACAAACCCTACCCCACCTGGGTTTAGGGCTCTCTGCTCTCACCACTGTGTCAGACAGATGGAGAGTCCAAGCTCGAGCTTGAATCAAGGCTCTTTGCCTTGATTCAGTCTCCATGATGGTCTGTCTTTTGGGCATCCCCGCGATCTGGGCATAACAGGAGAAGAAGGGCCTGGATTCCGAGAGAGACTGTCAGGAGCTGGGTGGAGGACAGGAAATGAAGGGGAGGGAGAAGATGAAGCCATCCCTTGTTATTTGAGGTCAGATAATGTTTAGCAAAGGAACTTGCAGAATGTTTGTGCCTGCAGTTTGTACCTGCTGCAGAGAGAGACATCCGTGTTCTGATGGGCTGTGTCAGTTACACAAGGAATGTTTCACTTGAGAGGCTTGTGTGTTTCTTCAGTCTGCACAAGGGCAGAAGTTCAGGCTCGGTGTTGGGCTGGTGCCTCGGGCTCAGTTTTCAGCAGTCGGTTTCCCGATGGCTCAGTGTCTGGTCTCTTTGGCCCAGAGAGATAAGTGTACGGTTGGACTGCTCCCAGGGAGCAGCTGCGGGTTCCACCTGTTTACCACTTTTCAGCCACCGAGAGAGCAGAACTGTCGGGGGTAAGGGCCAGCGTGTGTCATTCACACAAAGTTCCAGAGCTGAAAGGAAAGTTTGAGGGAGGCTCTTGGTAAGGAGTGAGGCAGGGAACGGAAGCCTGGGAGGGCGGTCTAGGCAGCAGGGACGGTGGGAACAAAGGTCTGGTGTGAGAGGAGTTTCTGCCCAGAAGGATGGGACAGGGACACAGATGGCTTCCTAGAGGACAGGTTCCCTGCCATCCAGAGGCTGAGCAGAAGATGTGGGGGGTTCTCTCAGTTGGGGAGCAGCAGAAGGGACAAGCTTGAGAAAAGGCCCAGAAGCCTGCCTGCTGAAGGGTTAGTACAGACAAGAGTTCCTAGTCAGACTGTGACCTTAAAAGGGAAGAAGGGGAGGGGAGGCTGGATATAGATGAGGCCTGTGAGCAGGATTTTATTGGAGCCCTGTCCCAGTGGGTTGCTCTTTACCCTTTTGAAAGAACTGCAGTAGCTGATTGGGGGACAGTATTGTGGGAACCTCTTACAGTGTT